CTTTGCCATGGAAGGTCAGAGAGTCACCGGTTCTGAGGATGGCAATGAACATCATTTGGGGCTTTATTCTGCTCAGCAGACTCACCTCTCCCTGCACTTGAAGTCGCCTTTCTGCCTCAGGTCTGGCTCCCAGGTGATCTCAGCATGCAAAGGTCCTGCCCCAGTTGGGAATTCCCAGGCCCCTGGAACCCCCAGGCCTGCTGCTCCTGTCTTAGCTGGGCCCCCTGTGCTAGGAGGTGGAATACGGTTGACTGCTGAAGGGGTCCTTGCTCCCTGGTCCTCCACCTCACCTGATCCAGAATTGCAGTACCTGTGGTAATTTCCAGGTTGGCTCATGCACCAAAGGCATTTCTCCAGGAAAAATATGAGACAGATGGGTGTATAGGATGGGAACGACTATGGCCACATCTTCAGGGGGAGTGGGAAGGAGGGACTTTGTTGTCTGGCCTGGGACAGCCACCATTTTAGGACATTAATTTCATAAGGAAATATTTTTTGTGTTCCAGCCAAATCACTTCCAAAGTAAGGTATCAGAAGCCAGCCTGGGTATGTAAAAACGCTCTGCTGATCGTGTCATACATCCAAGCATCTGAAGCAAATAGATAAAATAACTAAGCAAATATAAAATGTATAAAGACAACAGGAGAAAGTTAAAGTCAGTGGGAGAACACTGCAGAAACCTAACATCCATTTTGAGAGGCAGTACATGTAGTCAAACAGAAAATCAAAACTGCAGATTATTTAATGAACCAAACAGTGTCTCTGACTCACCAGTTCCTCTCTTTTCCACCAGATGTATTTGGAGAGACCAACTTTCCAGAGTCAGCCATAGGTCACCCCTTCTTACAGTGGCTCATGTATACTCAAGGTGGACTCTCGCTAGCAAAGTTTTGAGGCACAGAAATTTATTTAGTCTGTTTCCTTTGGGACGCTTGCTTTTCCCTGAGGCCGACATTTCCCCATCTGGTCTCCACCAGCTCAAAACCATATATTCTTTCCTGGATCTGCTCTGTCCAGTTGGGTGTTCTCTCTCATTCTGGAACTTTCTGACAATTATTCTCTCCTTCAAAACTTACCTATTCTGTGTCCTTTGCTAATGAAATGAAACAAACAGCATAATCTGGGCAAGAAACAGCATTTCTCAAACTGAGTAATTTGAGGAATGTTTCTTCAAGAGCTTGTTTACAAAACTATGAGTGTAGCTCCTCAAGCCAAGTCCAAATGGTACCCCCCAAGGAGAAGAGCCCAGAGGTCTCACTTGATCCGTTTTTGGGGTGAGGCAGTGTTTCTTGGCCTCAGGCCCCCTTGACCTTCCGGGCTGGGTCACTTTATCGTGGCAGTTGTTCTGTGGCTCATGAGAGATTGAGCAGCACCCCTGCACAGATGTGGGGCCCTGAGCAGCAACGTGCTTTCCCCGAGCGCTGCCGTCCCTGGGCCTGAAGTCTTCCAGAAAGCATGGCAGAGAACACGAGACTCGCTGTTTTCACGGTACCGGTTGAATTGTGTCCCCCACGAGGGATATGTGGGAGCCCCAACCTCTAGTGCTAATGAATGTTCCCTTCATTGGAAGTAAAGTGTTCGCAGATGTAATCATGTTAAGATGCGTGAATCGAGGCGGCGTCCTCGTCCAGTATGCCTGGCGTCCTTGTAAGAAGAGGAGATGACAAACAGCGGCGGACACGCGCAGAGGGAAGATGGCCTGAAGACGCGCAAGGAGAAAGCGGACGGTGTGAGGATCAAGCAGGGATGTCTCTGCGAGCCGGGGACACCAGGTATGCTGGCAACGGCGGAAACTAAGAGAAAGGCACGGAAAGGATGCTCGCCCAGAGCCCCCCGGGGAGCACGCAGCTGCCGCCACACCGCGGTTCCCGAGTCCCCTCCAGAACCGGGGTAGGACACATTCCTGCGGGTTTCAGACACCTGCTGTGTGGAGTGCGTTACAGCCGCCCTGGGAGACGCGTAGCGCACCCCCCACCCCCCCACTGTTGTTACGGCCTGTGCAGAATTGCCCGGACTAATGTCCCGGGACACTTGCTGAGCCTCTGTCCTGTGGCCCAGGAGCATGAAGACAAGCTCATTGGCTCATCTCACAGGGGAAGCACAGCCCGGTTGGAGACCGGAACTCTGACGCTCACACGTGCATCGAGAACTGAGCTGCCTCCGTGCAAACCTCTGATGTCTTATTTTCCTCACCAGAAAGACGGGCCTGACGAGAGTTTGCTGGTTGAGTTGCTGGGAATCACTGAGAGGGTTGTGACAACCTCAGTGTGTGTCCCAGGCAGCCGCCAGGTCTCCTCCTGCTGCGGGGGCAGCCCCAGGGCAGCCCGGGGCATGGCCCCCTCGTCCGCTGAGAAAGCGCCACCATTCACTTCGCTGCGCCTGCGGAGCAGGAGGCACCCGCTGGACCAGCGGTGACGCAGCTCCTGCAGGCGAAACGCACCGGGATGAGGGCTGGAGTGCAGCGACGACCGACCGCGGGACCCGCATTTGTGTCACGTCCACGCAGCCTGCCCTGACCGAGAAGCGCTGGGAGCCGAGCTAAGTGATGTGGGGGCGGGGGGCAGTCCCGGCACGCCTTCGCCGCCCACCCTTGCGTGGACCTCAGCTCTTCGCGGGGTGCTTGGGTGGCTGTCTCGGCCGTCCAGCCGGGCTGGAGTGAGCAGCGGGGAGGAGGGCTTCCGCTCTCGCTGGGAGGGGCTCACTCCAGGCACTTGCGCCTCGCCCGCCCGGACGGCTCCTGCCCGGCTGTGCTCGTTTAAGGAGGGTCGCGGAGGGGAGGTACAGAGGCCCAGATGGTTTGGGAGATGGCTGTGGCTTCACAGACAAGTTCTGAATTGAAAATAGTGTAAAACGATTACACTTCTATCAGAGTTAAGAACATAGAATAACCTGGTTTAGGCTAATAAATTGTCATCTTAAGGATGTCCTTTGAGGGCTTGCTTTAATGAACAAATGAGAATAATTTATAATCAGTGTGGCATTTTTTTGGGCCTTGAGGAAAAATTCCAGCCAAATTAGGTACTAATTACCAAGCTAGAATCCAGGAACATATCTGGCATAAACAATGTCACATTTCTGGCTGCATGCTAAAGATATCAGTACCACGATCAGGGAAAACCCAATTTCTCATTATCTAATATTTATTAAATGCATGAAAAATAATTTATCATTTTTGTTAAAAGGAGAATTCAGACCCTTTGCCAATTAATTTACCAGGTCTGTATTTTAATCAATGTTGGAAAACATTTGTCCTGAATGATTTCATTATTCCTGGATAATTATTGAAAACTACTAAACCTCAAAAGCTCCATTCCTGTATTCATTTACCTCCCGACAATTACTTTAGAGGTAATTGCAGTGTCAGCATCATGCCACTCTTCGTAGATCACTTACAGATTCACAATTTCCACTTCTTTTTCTCAGACTAGATTATAGATCCCTGGCTCTTCGCTGCCTCCAAAAACTGGAGACTTTTCTCTCAAATATCTAAGTTTCCAAGTTCGGAATATTTATTTATCCTGTTGTGCTATCTTTAGGAAATTCACAGCAACACGTCACTCGTGGATTCAGAAAACCTCTCTCTTTTAGCCGCCTCTCCTCCTAGGCTAGGAATAGGACCCACATCTCAGAATGGCTGAAATGCAAGATGCATCCGAGTTCGAGAGATGATGATGTAGTTACTCATTCCCAGGTCCATGTGAGGGACTTAGGAGCCACCAAGACAGGGCAAATGCAAATGCAAATGTAACCATGAAGTCAGTCACAATGATGGATGATAATTAGACCAGGAGGCTTCTGTTTCCCAAGGATGTGGTAACAGACCTGCAGTCCTAGAGGCCGCAGATGGGGTATTAGTATGTGTATGTGTGAAAGACCATGTGCTATTTACATTCAGGTCAACAATCAACAGAGATCCATGACCTGGAAAAGAGATTTATGTAGTCCCTGCAATGTGGGCACCATTGGGGTGATCAGAAGCCTTTTGTTCATGAGGCAAGGTTCACTCTGGCCCAGCTTCTGTCAAAACCATTATGTGCTGCACATTCATGGAGTCCAAGTCCATAGATCTTATTATGGGCTCGCTGCTTCCTAGCAAGACACATATAGGGGACTTGAAATTCACCAACACGGCGTAAACTCTGGAAGCCGGGAAGGTGAGGAAGGCAGAAAGGGAAAAGGAGAGTGAATGGTCACAAATGGAAAATGGTGACTTGGATGTCACTGGACTGTTACCACGTGGGAGTCTGATGGGCACAGCTCTCACTGGCCCATCGGCCTACCTGTGGCGTCTGGCTGGCTTCCCAGCAGCTGGGGTCCTGGCGGCATGAGGGTGAATGGAAGGACTGCATACCAGGCCCAGTCTGGGGGTGGGATGGGGAGCTGGCCTCAGCTGTGGTTTCTGGTCTGGATGGAAACCCTGGGGAGCATTTAGAACTCAGAACTTGCTCTGAGGTCAGGCTCATGGGAAATTGAAACCCACTCTGGAAAATTCAGCTCAGTGCCCACAGGCTTTATTTTCAGAGCAGGCCATTTCACAGTGAGACACCCCAACATCCCCAGTTCTCTCTCGTAATGGTGCAGTGACCTCATGGAGACATGAAGCCACTGCTGATGGCAGCGAGGCGAGCGTGCAGTTTGGAGACACTGCCTGGGGACACACCCATGCTACATACTGACCCTGTCTGGGCCTCAGTGTTCTCATCTGTAAAATGTGGACAGAATGGTACCTTCTTCAGGGGTTGTTAGGATTAAATGAGGCCACATCTGCAGAAGGGCTTAGAATGGTGGCAGATCAACACTATGCAAATATTAAACAAACAAATGAGGCAAGCTCCAGTCCATTGTTTTAAGATGACAGATACAGGTGAGGAATCTTGCTGCCTAAGCAAGTATAAAGGGATTATATTCTATTTAAGCAAGTTCTGTCTGTCATGGGAATTTGGGGAGTGGCAGGGAGGAGGGAGAGGAGGATGGGGGAGAGAGAAAGAGAGAGGCGGGGAGGGAAGCAGATAGTGCATGTACTGGGCAAGCCTGGGGTCCTTGATGTCCTCACAACATGGGAGGACACAGGACCGTCCTGGCGCCCCCTCCCTGCCCTCTGCCCCCCATCCCTCTCCCAGCCTGGGACCCGTTTGGTCAGAGTCTTGCCCTCTGCTGGCTGTTATGTCCAATGTCCTTTTTGCCAGTTATGCAATAAAACCTGCAAGCCATTACTTCCAGGAACTGCTGGTTCTTTCATAGGAAATTTCATAGGAAAACCTGAAGAGTCTTGTAGGATTCCAAGAACACATTTCAAATACAGACCATACAGTAGGGGCAGGTGAAATCCCGGGGCACTGTGATGACTTGGTTTGTGACCCTCTCCACCCCAGTACTGAAGCGTTAGGATCTAGAGCACCCCTGGCCTGAAGGAGGCTTGGGACTGACCTGTGGGATCTGTGGTTCTAGAAGAAGACTCCAGGAATGAGGCCGTGGGATGCATGGCTCGAGAAAGATTCTGGAGGGACACAGCAGAGCCCAGGAGTGGAATAAAGATGGCAGCAAGGACCACTGAGGGGATGAAGTTGGAACTGCCCCGTCCAACTGCCGCCACCAGCCCGTGTGGCTGCTGGAATCTGGACATATGTGGGGTCTGAATCAAGGTGAGCTGTGAGTGTAAAATGCACACACAATTTCAAAGCCTTGGTGAAGGTAAACCATCTCATTGACCACTTTTTCATTGATTACAGGTTGACACTATTTCACTTTTGATATACCGGATTAAATAAAACATACTCTTAAAATTAATTCCACTTTTTACCTTTTAAATTACAGCTATTAGAAAATCAACTTGGGGCCTGGCCACCCATTTCTAGTGGGCAGCGCCAGCCTGCAAGGTTCTGCAGAGGAAAGCAGGTCACATCCAAAGAGCAAGAGGCCAGAGGTAGGCAGTTCCTCAGGGAGGCAGTTCCAGGGATAAAGTGGGGATGTGCACATTCTCAGGCCATTTCCAATGCAGACAGCTCACCCTCAGGTAGACAAAGAGGGCAGGATGAACATTGTATTCACTGGGCCAGGACAAACAGGGGCTGGGAGATTTCAGGACAACAGCTGTGTGCTGGGCTTCAAGATCAAACTGGCATGCTCCAGAGCAGCCCCATGGTGGTCTCTGAGTGAGAAATGAGGAGAATCAGGTCACTTATTCTGTGCCTCATTGTGGAACATCCTAGAACAGCATAGTTATAAAGATGGAGCCCAGACCGCGGGTGGTGGAGAAGGAGATGATGGATGTGGCTGTACACGAGTGACTATGGGACTCTCCTTGTGGCTGGAGGTGTGTCTTGACAGTGGTGGAGTTATAGGAATCCATACGTGTCGCACCATTTAATAGGAATAGGCATGATGATGTAGCCATGTCGTGAGGACTTGTAAAACATGAGATCTGTGTAGACTGTCCAGTGATTCATTGTATTATGCTGGAGTTGACTTCCTGGTTTGATAGCCTGGTGCTTTGGTTATGCAACCTACCGCTGCTGTGGGGACAGTGGGCAGTGGGGCTTGTGGGGAGAGCGGGCGATGGGGATAAGGTTGGCTTCTTACACTCGGCATAATCCTCTGGACATCCCCCCAGGCTGTTATTTGTATCACCACGCAGGCTGTTCCTCTTTACTGCTGAGCCGAATTCTGTGGTGGGAACATACCCCATTCCCCCACAGAAGGATATGGGACTGATGTCATATTTTGTCTATTACAGAGTCAGCTGCTGTGGACAGCTGTCTGTGTTGAACCTAAGTTTTCATTTCTCTACAATAACTGCCCAGGAGTGACTGCGATTCTCCAGATTTCCAAGGGAACCCCACAAACTAGTAATGATTGTATTTTTGTAAATCTACAATTATTTCAAAAAACAAGGGTAACAAAAATCTTTGATGGGAAACTATCAGCTCCTAGGAAGTCATCAGTGAGATCTGTTGAATTAGTTCATTCACTCAAGTTCACACTGGCATGGTGCTCATGTTCTGTCCCTTTCTCTTTCAAAGCACACAGTCTACTTTGGGAGTGGATTATGCCTCCTCTCTGTGCCTGTGGCAGCCTCTTTTCCTCCTCCACTCCTAGACCTGGAGTTCAGAAAGCTCTAGAAGCTCATGAGAAAACTCAGACTCCTGCTGTATTGCTCCTGGATTCTGAAGTGGCAGGAAGGCTTGTTTTTTCCCTCTGGTTGTATGGCCAGAGAGGCGTCTTGGGAATGCATATTGAATAATTAATTTTAGCTTTAAATAATTCACTAGTCCTGGCCTGCATAATTGCTAGGGATGAAATAATTAATTACTTGGATGGCTTTTCTTTCTTCCCCTTTTCTTGGCTGGAGTGCTAGGCTTTGCTGAGGAGCACATACTGTGCCTCCTGTAACTAGGCCACTGAGCAGCAATATCTGAGCCCCTAATGGCACAGGCTGGTAATGAGCATGATCCTGCCATCCCATATTTCCTTGCTTGGCAGCCCACTCAACCCTCCTAGACTATTTTGGGAAGTGAGGACCAGGATGGTTATAGATAAATAAAATCACAACATGATCCCAGATCCTTAGTTTATCACAGGGGTCAGCAAACTGAGGGCCATGAGCCAAATCTGGCCCACTGTCTGTTTTTCTAAATAAAGTTTTATTGGTACACACCCAAACCCATTCATGAACAGATTGTCTATGGCCAATTTCAGATACAATGGCAGAGCTGAGTGGTTGTCACAGAGACTGTATGGACAACAAAGCCTGAAATGTTTATTCTGTGGCCCTTTACAGAAGAAGTTTGCTGACCTCTGGCTTAGGAAGCCATCTGTCTCTCCTCAGTTTAAAGCAGCTTTGCAAGGACTGCCAGCACTGTGGAACCTCACAGCTAAATAGGGTTGCTTCTCACTGCTCTTGACACCTTGGGGGAGAGAGGGAAGAGAAATAGAGACAAGAAGCAAAAGCCCTGGATCATCCCTGACTGGGCCACAGGCCGTCACTAATTGAGGGTAGGACTTGACTGAGCAGAAATTAACTCCTCCAATTCAGTCCAATCTCACCTGGCTCCTACTCAGGAGGAGCAAGGGGATGAATGTGAGCTCTGGAGTCAGAAGGAGGTACAAAGCCCCACCTGGCTTTTGTGGGCTTTGTGCTTAGGTGTCTGAACCACTCTGTCTCTTTAGTTGATAAAGGGGAATAATTCTCTCTTGTCTGCTGGGTTTTGGAGGCATCACATACACTCACTGATGCAAAACAGTTTTTAGATCAACTGCACATTTCTCTGTATTTGTACTTTGAGGCAGAAATGACAGTACTAAACCTTGATAGAGTTGGAAAAGCCCAGTTCACCAACGTGTCCCTAGAATTGGATAGGATGTCCAAAGGGTAGTCTGCCTTTCTGGACTGGCCGATAGCAGTTTCTGCCTAGGGACCTAGGCCCTGTCGGCATCAGCAGAAAGACAGAATGCTTGGACATTAACAGAGCTATGTATTAAAATGGAAATATTCACAGGGCAAAATCTATACCACTCTATTGTAAGCCACACACTTGCAGGTTTAAAGAGGGAGAAGAGATGTGGAAAGAGCAAAATCTCTTCTGAAGTGTTGTCCCTGATGACTCTGTGGCCCACAAATCTGTGTTTCGTCCTTGATGTGTCCACCTTTCTCATCCCCAGACACTGGATCACCCAGCCCTGGCTTCTTCCCAGTCTGACTCATCTGTTACCTTCCTCTGCCCACCTGTGCGGCTCCCCTTTGTGTTTCTCCTGAATTAAATGGTCTTACCTGGTCTCCCTGCCTCCAGCCTCATCTTCTCTGACTCACAGTCACACTGCTCTTCCTAAAACAAATCCCATGGTATCTCTTTCCAAAAAAAACTGTAATAAAACACATATAGCATAAAATCGACCATTAATGACTTAGTACATCCTGAATTAAATGGTCTTACCTGGTCTCCCTGCCTCCAGCCTCATCTTCTCCCAATCAGTCACACTGCTCTTCCTAAAACAAATCCCATGGTGTCACATTCTCTTTCCAAAAAAACTGTAATAAAACACATATAGCATAAAATCGACCATTAATGACTTAGTACATTCACAATGTTGTGCAACCATCAACTGTTTCCAGAATATTTCCATCACGAATCCCCAACACTGTTACCAGTCTCTCCCCATCCCCAGAACCCCCAGCTCTTGACATCTACTAATCTGGTTTCTGTCTCAACAGACTTGCTAAATCTGGGTAGTTCATATGCTTTTGAGTCTGGCTTCTTAACTTGGCATGATGTTTTTGATGTTTGCCCTCATGGCGACATGTACCAGCATTTATTCCTGTTACTCATCATTGAAAATATAGCTATTTTGGGGTAGTTAAGGGATAATTTTCAGGTCACCATTCTTGTATGCCCATAAGAATTTAAAAAATTAGACTTGTTTAAATTATTTGTATGAGTCAGCATTTGCTGTTTTGACAAATGGCTCGCATCTTAATGGCTTAAAGCCACCGTCATTTCTCTGTCTCATGGTTCTCCTTCTGTCAGTCTGGGTCGGGCTCAGACAGATGAGTCTCCTGGGCTCAGCTGGGCTCAGCCATGTGTCAGCAGCTCCCTTCTTTCTCGAGTGCCCTGAGCCACCCAACATGCCGTTAGCAGCTGGGGTAATCCCCAATAAAAGGATTGGTGATCATTTTCGAGAGGGATGTGAACTGCATTAGGATCCAAATCAGGCATGACCGGGACACAGAAGCTGAAGAATCCTCCCCAGAGCCACACTTTCTGCCTTGCAAAGGGATCCCTTCTCAATCTGTCTTCTTCTGTCAAAAAGGATTGGAAACTCTCCTGATAGTAAAATCTAGCTGCTTTGTCCTCCTTGGCACTTGTGAATAGCAGAAAGGCAGGCTTGATCTGTTTCTGCAAATACCAGGAAAATCCCAGAAGATTCCTGCCAGGAGCTAACACTGATGCAGGAAGCAGGGAACAATGCTGCAAACACCAGGCTCAACTCACATAGGACAATCTGCTGCCTATTTTTAGCATGATTATGGATTCAAATTCACCATGGAACAAAAAAGAGTGGAAAGATTAAAATGGCTGAAATGAGCCATCATTGCTTATGCCATATTTTAGGAAGTCATGCCAAGAAAAAATTGTTATGTGTCCTTGTTAAAAATGGAAATTATCCACCTGAATGCTCAGAATAAAAGGATGATGCAAAGCAGATTTAAAGTATTTTCTTAAACCGAGTTGGTTTGTTTTTGTCATTTATCTAGTATATGAAATACTGACATCCCCATCTGTTATAATAGAAGCAAATTTTTTAAAAATGCAATACTAGGAGAGCTAGTAAAAGGCTCATTCTAACCTTGTGTGTGTGCATTAAGTTTTAATGCTAACTAATAATTCTGATACTCAAATTTCACTTGTGCTTATGTAAAGATATTTTCCCTGCAGGGGAGAGGGGCATGATAATTTTCTTTGTCAGTTGGTTTTTCCAAAAATCATTTATCCTGTAAAAGGTGGGAAGTGGTCAGGGACATGAAGGGGACTTGCAAATTCTCTCATGTATGGGGATAAAGAGGCACAGGCAGGGAGTAGGGATGGCGAAATAAAGATTATTCTCTCCCTGCCCCCACAGAGGATCAATATTTAATCTTTTCTGCTTG